GGTGGGGGTGGTGGGGGCGCGGCGAGCTCCTGGTTGCCCCCGCGGACGCTGCCTCCCGGGCTGGTCTCCGGGTCTGTGCGCCGGCCCGCAGCCCGAACCGGGCCGGCGAGCAGCCCTGCTCGTCCGTGAAACACCGCGGCTGCTCAAGGCTCCCTGCTGCACTTGACCTGGCCCCGGTGCCTGTCTCTGGGGTCGGAGGGGTTTGCTGTCCGCCTTCAGCAGCTCAAGAAGTTGCCCAAAACCGTATCGAGGAGCCTGGGAAAGAATTTAATCCCTTTTGTAAAAGCCTGGGACTCTGCCGAGCGGCCTTGTTGCTCTAATCCTCCGTTTGATCTGAGCTAGTTTATCCCGTGTGTTTGGCAGGCTGCATAGGAGTCCTGGGGAGACGCTTACGCAGCACTTGCAAATGCGAGTCTATATTTCAGTCAAATAGAACTACAAGAAACCCCTCACCTCTGCAGAGCTTGCCACACAGCTGTCAACACTGTTCCTGGAGAGGTTTCAATTCATGTTTCTCTTTTCCTCAGCAGGCCACAAGCCTAATGTGCAGGCATGAATTAGAGCGTTTCTTGCAGAAAGAAAAATATTTTAACGTGTTAAATTGTTATCTTATTTCCACCCTTTTTTCCTTATTTTGGAAAGGAAAAATTTCTTACATGACTGCTGGGAGTCACAGGCTTCAACCAGAGGGGCAGGTTGCCCTGCAGGGAGGGATGGCTCGGTGTGACTGGAGCCAGCTCTCCTGCATGCTGGGGCAGAACTGGACCCTGTTCGAGGGGCTTCCTCGAGCCTGTTGAGGCTGGAAGCCTCTGTCAGGTGTTGGCTGTGGGGGTGGAGTGGCCTGTGAGTGATCTTGCCTCTCTGTGTGGGTGTGTGTGTGAGAGGAAAAATAAAATTCCATCGAGGGGGGGAGGTTTTCCTTGGAGACGGTTGACAAGGACAACAGCGGCCTGAGGAAGGCTGTTGTCTCATGCTGCCATAAACCTTGCTAGGCTGTGCAGGAGGGACCCCGCGGGCAGCACGGAGTTTGTGACCTGTGGAACAAGTGCTCCGCTTAAAAAAATGTACTTTAATAAACCTACATGAAACAACCACAGTCTTTTCTAAAGGGTTTTCATGCACCGAGGTCTTCCCGAAGTCCCTATTGTGTCAAACGTCTGGCAGTGCAGAGAAGTGGCCGTACTTGTGACGCAAGCAGGGGAGCCCCGCGGGTGAGGTGGGGATGTCTCTGACGTGAGAGATTCAAACCACTCGCTAACTACTACTTGTGGGGCTGATGCAAGGGATCTGCGGCAGTCCATGAGGGTGAGCGGCTTGGATCCAGCAAAACTGTAAGGTCTGGGATGATAAATGGCATGTGTTTCTGCTGCTTGGTTGTTATTACTGGACTAACCTATAATCAGTTTCACACAGCTTTAATGCTGGTTCTCCACCTTAGAGAGATTTGTTCTTCCTATCTCTCTCTTGGAAATAGTACTGGATCATGTTTTGCTCTTAACTAAACAGATCGAGTTTCTCTACATGAACCTCTGACTGTAGTGAAAACTGCCCTGGAAAAGAGGCCTTTTCTCCTACAAATGACAGATGTATCGCATTCTAAGGTGACATTTGGGTTGTGTTCTGGAGGAGTTTCTAATCCACTTGCTGTGAATGCTCTGTGGCATGTGTTGTGTCCGCACTGGAGGGTTAAACGTCATTTAAGAAGAACCTCGTGTTTTCAAGAGGTCTGTGTTAATAGGCAAAATAGCAGGTGTGAGGGGAGGGGAAGGGACAGCTGTAGCAGCAGAATGTGGGTGTTTTTCTGTGCCTGCTTTGTCTTTGGTATGGTCTGGATTACAACACATGTCCTTACAAAGGCCGTAGGGATGCAAGCAGGACCAGAGGTACCCCAGCATTGGAAGGGGACGGTCTGCTCAGCGCAGTTCTCCCTGCCAGTCCGTGGCGGTGACTTCATATTGAGAAAGAGTTATGAGCTGCAGATGATCCAGCAAAAGCATAAGCTTGTGTACGCAGTGCAGTCTGAGGGTGTTCAGAGAGGAAAATCTCCTCATTTGGGGGAAATCTTATGTGTTATTTCCTTGTGGCTGGACCATGATGTAAGTGGGACTGCGGAAAAGGGAAAAAATGTCCTGTTAATGTCTTGATGTTGCAGCAGGTGACTGCCCGATGGGTTCGCTGCAGTGCCCTGCCATACATCGGATCAAAGCTCAACAGTCTGCTCGTGGGAGACAGCCATGAAGGGAATGTTCCATCTTACTCAGAGCAAAATGTGGAAGCTGTTTTGTCATTTTTGATTGCAGCTTGGGGCTTTGACAATTTCTAGCTGACAGGAAGGAAAGCTGTAAGGCGCTTAAAACAAAAAAGTACAGAATCAAAACACCCAAATGTTTGGGTTCTTAAAATGGCCAGTCAGAATCTGAGTTCATTGTTCTGTGAAAGATGAAATATGTTGACCATCAAATCTGAGTTATGATATATTGCTAGAACTTTTCCAGGAAGAAGTGGTGCCTGGTGAGATTACAAATGCTGTGGTTTGGTGTTTTATGGGTGGAAAATGAGTTAAGCCTTCTATCACATTGATACTTAAAAGGTTTCTGTCACCAGTCTTTATACATGTGACTGTATGTGGTTCTCTGTACTTGTCAGGCAGTTGTAGCTGACTGGTAATGATAGTTTGTCTCTTGGATTTAGCTGTGGTTTGGCGCTAACCGCTTGCTGCACAAGTTTCACTGGTTTGATTCATATCAGAGCTGTAAATCTGCACTGTAGCTTCTGGAGAAGAGGAAAGTCAGTGCCCCACGAAGGTGAGTAAAGCTGAGGACTCTGTGTTTGTCCTGAACGCAGCATTTTTGCTGTGGGACAGGACGGGGTATTCGTTCCTCCTTGCCTGTGGTTGGGGACTGCTCCTAGCTTGTCCCATTGCTGGGGTTAAGTAGTCTTTAAAGCTTGGGGAGCGATGGGAATGTGTGCACCAGCAAATGAAGCCATATGAGATGCAGATCCTGGCTGTACTGCAGCGCTCTCTGGGCTGTGTGGGTTCAGGTCAGGTCTGTTGCGTGCAGTTTCTAATTATTTCCTTTTCTGTGAAGTCTTTCTCCCATGTTTTCTCACGGTGAGGCCTCCCGTCCCCAAGCAGAGAGGCAGTGTTAGCTACAAGATCTAGTGCATGCAGCCTGTGTTAATATGCAGCAGCACGGGATCCTGTTGCTGCGTATTTCCTTGCAAGGTGCCTGGATGCGATAAACTTTCCAGTGAATTATTTTGTGTCCTCTAACAGCAGGAGACAAAATGCCGGCTGCTAGGGGACAGTAAAATCATCTGAAATGCACACTATCATTTTCTGCTTGTCTTCAATTAAACTGATTACCAGACTTCTTTGTTGTTCAGAGCTCAGACCGTTTCACATGTTGCCAGCATGTACTTTGGCAGCTGCGGGCGATGGGATTTCCTGCATTGTTTGAGTCTTTGCCATTGACCTTTGTGGTCGTTGTTCTGGCACTGCCTCTGCTCTGGCAGGGGTGCAAAGGGCATTATTCAAACCCTGAAAGAAAAGAGAAAGAATTGCTTTAAAGGCATTGAGGGCTCTTTGTAATTGGTGGCTCCTAGGGTCATTGCTGCAAAAGAAGGGGAATTGCTGGGGCTGTCAGGATAATTACCACTTTTTTTATTGTTCTCATCCCAGTCTAGATGACAGTGGTGTGATTTGAAGTGAGTCATAAAAATATGCCTTCCATACAGCGTTGAGATGGTGACCCTTTTGGACTAAGGGTGGGAGAAGCTTGGTTTTGGTTCTTGGGAAGTCCCGTGGGTGCTGGAAACACTCGGCTGCGCCCCAGAGGTTTCCTCGCTCTGCACTGGGGACTGCGACGGGCTCCGTTGGAGATGCCGGTGGGGTTGTACTGGAGCCCTGTCACAGCCCGTGCCGCAGACACTGGTTACTGCAGCGTGTGAGAAGATCCACCTCTCCCTGCCGCTGGAGACGGGCACGCCACAGATACACAAGCCATCTGCCTCATTGCAAGGGAGGCTGCGTAACCCATTCTTGCTGCCGTCCCCCTTTGCAGCAGCGGCAGTTTCTCCGCTCTGGTGAATCATTTGCTCAGCCAGTGCCTGGAGCTTTGTACCTTGAACCTGCTGAAGGTCGGGTGCTCGGCTGGCTCCAGTAACGGAGCAGCGCTCGGCTCACCAGGGCGATGGCCAGGTCGGGGTGTGTGGGGGAAGGCTGAATGCACAGCTCTTCCTTTTCTTCCCCTTTCCATCTGGAGCCTTTCTAGTCTTGTCAGGTGCCTGTGGTTGGACTGGAAGCAGCTGGCCTCGTGGAGGTGTCTCTGGTGTTGCTGGTAGACTGATGCGAAGGGCAGATGAGAGGTCTTTGGTGTTAGATCTTTGGAATAAGATACAACTTCTACATTATTCATTTAATTGCGTGTGCGTGGTATTGTGCAGCTTGAATTAAATTGTCTGGAGCGAGATCTTGTACTCGATGTGCTGTTGTAGAATAAATGCCAGAGTGCTCGGGTTGGACTAAGTGCTTCCAAACTCCAGCCTTATAAGTCCAGCAGTCACCGAAGTTAACTACGGGATTGACAGCAGCGTGCCAGGCTGTCCCGCTCACCCTGTGGGCTCAACCCCTGCCTTGCCATAGGGTCTGTCCCCCCTGTGATTGGTACCCAGAAGAGAAGAGGCCTCTGCAGCTCTTCCTTGTGGTGGGACAGGGAGAACCTGGGGAGGTGAGACCCCCAGTGGAGCTGCAGCTGCCTGAAGGAGCCTGGTCTCCCAAGGGTGACTCTCATCTTGTGTTTCTTTGAACCTGTAAATGAATTTGGGCATGAAACGCGAGATGTAACGAGCCCTATTGTTGTTGGAGTTGAAAGCCCAGGCTCTCTGCGTTGTGTGCTGGTGCTGAGTTTAAGCTATTTTCTGCTGGGGAAGTAAGTTGCTCCAGCGGACAATCCAGGCACGTGACTGCCGGGGCACGGTCATGGAAAATTGGCTCGGTTGCCATGTTTATTTGCTCTGATATAACTTTTTATGACACTGTCATGCAGCTTTTTCCAAGGCTATCGGAATGTATTATTCTTTATTTCTTCTCTTCCGCTATTTTTTTTAAAGAGGCACTATCAGAGAAACCGTATATAACATTTTGTTGTGGATAATGAGTTACAGGCTTCTGTTATCGACTAGGGCTTTTTCCTTTTTTCCTTTTATATAACAAATTCGCACAGAACCCCTCTGTTATTGTAGCTGTAGCTCAAGGTTGTGATTTATAGCAGGAGAAGGTGAAATAGCAGTTGTTAGCTCTTCTTCCATTCTAATGAAGTCAAATTTGCCTGATTTTAGTCTCGACTCCTGCCTTCTTTTTCCTCTGGGGAGGGAAGTAATCGCTCTCTTGCCTTCTGTAGGATTGGGTTGCTAAACTTATCGAGCGGTTTCTCATCTGAGAAGGTGTCGAATAGCTTTGGGTCGTTCCTATACAGAATGCACTGGTGTTTGTTTCTCTCTCGCTCTCCTGGGCAAGCTGAAGTGCTCATTACAGTAGGGAACAGCCATATATTGGGATATAAAGGTCACGAGTGTTTCCTTTCACCTCTGCAGTTGGGAGTCAGACTGACATACCCGGGAGGTGGCAAGAAGATGTTGCAGCAAAAAGAAGCATTTGGTGTGCTTTTTTGCAAGGGAGACCTCCAGACCAGTCAGTCCATTCAGTGTAGAGACTGTAGCCTTCTTTGTCCGGCTCTAGCAGAGCTGATTTCCTCCTCCCTTGAAGAAATAGTGCTATTCCTGCATCCCGCAGTCTCTCCTGGTTGCTCCATGTGGGAGACCTCCAGTACCACCAGCGCATTGTATCCGACTGTGTGACAATATGCTGATTTGCTCAACTCCTGTTAAATGTTTCCAGCGTGAACATCAGGTGGTAACAGAATATTTTGTCATTTTTTTATGTACTCCAAAATCTGTTTTAACTGCTCTTTCCATTGTCACAGGTGCCAGGGAAGAAAGGTGTCTGAATACTGATGAATGAGCTACGATGGATAACAAAGACTCGGAAGCTGAGATCCACCCACTGAAGACTGAGGACGTAAAAGCTCAAGAGAACCATGAAAACTCTGTGGAGAGAAGAATTGTCAGCAAGCAGTCATCGCAACTGTCTCGGCTGTCCCGGTGGCGCACTGCCGCCTTCTTCATCTCGTTATTTCTGTGTCTGATAATTGTGTTTGCTTTCTCATTTATCATTCCTTGCCCAGAGAGGCCAGTTTCAGAAAGAACATGGTTCCGAAACTACGACAATGCAGGTGAGCTTGCTGTAGCAGAATACATACTTACCAACAGTCCTTTGCCTTTATGTGCCACGAATTTGAATTGTGGACCTCTGCCTAAGCGCGATCTGGAGCCTGGCCTGCAGGGATGCTGCCCTTGGGAGCGAGAGCTGTGAATACCTGACCTGGATAAGCAGTGGCCTGTCATAATTGGAATGGCCTTGCAGGAGGTGTTTACAGGATCTAATGGAGAAATTAGGTGCTGCTCTAAAGCGCTAACAAGGTAGCAGGCTGGCTTCATTTGGGGAAAAAAAAATGGGGAGGGGCATCTGGGAATAAATCTTTGTTGAAGTTTAGGGTGTAAAATGTTCCCTTGAAGTTTGAGCTGAGGTTTGGGGACAATTAGGCGTTCTCCCTCTGTCAGTATGACTTTCTAAATTTTCTCCGTGGCTAACAGGAAAGGGAGAAGAGGAATTGCATCTTGGGGTTTTTTTTTTAATAAATTGCACAAATTTGTAGTTGTTTTAGTCGGCTCTTTAGCCTGGGTACTGCTCCCTGGTGGCTCAGCATTCGCTTCTGTGAAAGCTTTTCTTTATTCTTATGTGCGGTGGGTGTGTGCTGGTTGTGCTGTAAACGCAGAGATAGTGCTCACCAGCGGGGACTGAGCTTTGTGTGTTGATGCAGAAATCCCAGGTTCTGCTACTCTGAGCTGAAGAAGGCTGCTTTGAGCTGAGAGTGAGAAAGATGGAATATCTGGGGCTGGGTTTTGTGGGTTTTGTTTGGTTTTTTATTATGTTTCAGGAATAGCAACCTCACACCAAGAGCAGAGTTGTTCTTTCTTCAACATAGTTCATATTCTGGCTGCTTGGCCTTAAAAAAAGACAAATCCTCTGGGGGAGAGCAAATTTAAAAAATCCTTTGGCACTAACTTCCAGTTCTTGGTACTCATGTAGATGGCTTTTTTTAATAGAAAAGCCAATTTGTCCTGAAGTTACACTGTCAGAGATAGAGGCAGTGAGTAGGCCTCTAGGAATTTGTGTTTTGCTCCAGCTAGCTGGAGGTAGCCTGCTGTTGGTGGAGGCAATCCTCACCAGTGCCTGCCTCGTGATCTCTTTTACAGTGGCCTACCAGTTTCTCGCTATAGAAGACGTGAATGAAGACAAAGTGCAAGATGTCGTCTTTGCTTTCAAAGCTGGCAACGGCAGCAGCACCTTCAACGGATCCTGTTTGGATGAAGGTAGCTGATTCAGAAAGAGAAAACCTTGTAGTAAAAGGGCTGTTATTTCTCTTGTAGTTCTAATTAGCGAGGCTGCTGTGGGTCTGGGAGAGAAAACCGGGTTAGCTGGGTGGGGAGAGGAACGGGGCGAGTCCCAGCTCTCGGGTGGTGCGGAGCAGCAAAGGTAGGTGTAGGTAGCGCTCCCTCTGATGTCTTTTCTCTTCAGGTCTGCCTTCTCCGTGTGCCTTCGTTGCTGCTGTGTCTGGCACAAACGGCAGAGCGCTCTGGGAGAGGCCTGTTGCTGAGGAGGTTGAGTGGCTGCAGTGTGGCATCAAGCAGCTCGGGGGGGCCGAGGCCCCGGGTTGCCTGGTCGTGGGGAAGCCCGTGTCTCTTACGGCAGTTGACCCGCGGACAGGTGAGTGGGGAGCAGAGTACTGCTGCCATACCGGGGACGGTGCTACCTCCTTTCCTCACCTGGTGACCTTCAGACCTCGGAGGCTGGGGGCGTCAGCGTGACATGACTTGCTGGTACATGAACAGTGGGCACAGGGTATCTGTTATCTTGAAAACTTTGCCATTGAGAGAATCTCCTGTTCTCTCAGCCTGTCTGTTCCAAAGGCTGGACTCTGTTGTGGTGGTTTGTGCCAGCCACTGTATTATAACAACAACTTTTCGACGGCTTTTGAAACGGGAGAAGCAGTCACTAGCTGTGAATGTTACTCGATACTCTCAGGGGTTGGACACAAACCCGCAATGTTTCTCAGTTGTTTGCGTGTGAGTGGTGGGACTGCCTACAGTGGGAAGAGGAGTGGGAGTTTTAGGCATTTATGATTTTAAAGTCATCAAGGAGAGCACTTAGGATAAGTTACTCGCCAGTTTTTGTAGTCCAGGCTTTTACCTGGTTTCTCAGGAAAGCCACCTTCATTTCTGATCCTATAGAAATTCGTCATCTTGCCTAACGTGGGGTGCGGGTGAAGACTGCCTGTATTTCTCTAGGAACAGGGCAGTGACCGTCTATTGCACCTTGAACCTTCTTTGCTGATGACCCCTGAAATACGTTTCCATTTTGGGGGTCACTGCTTCAAAGCTTCTAAACAATTCATGTTCTCCCTTGAAAACATGCTTAGGATCCCATCCTCTGGTATTGAACCCCTCACACCCTATTTTCCAGAAATTGGGAGAGAGAAATAGCAAGAGGTATAGCTCTAAGGAATCTGAGGAAAATCTTGTGTAGCTTTTAATTTCCAGTGTAGATGGAAGAGTAGACACACACAGAGCTGGAACGCTTCTGTACCAACTGAGATACCTTAGCACCGTTTCCCTCATCAATAGGCTTTAGCACAGGATATTTATAGACTACTAATGAAATAGTTGCTTTTAGGTCAAAGTGTAGAAAGGTGGCTGCTGAGCCAAAGGCGTGTAACTAAAGACAGCAATAAAGAAATAGCACAAGCGTAGAGAGAAGGAACCAGGCTAAGCCGCAGGTCACAGCAACAATATGGTACGAACACATTCCATAGATAAAATCAAGGGATGAAAAATTGCTTCAGATAGAAAAGTGAGTAACACAGAAGTTGACATATTTGATACTTTTTTTGCGATTACGTAGGTTAAAAGGGGTTTCTCAGTGTAGTTGGCTGTTACTGAGGGTTAGGAGGGTGGATCAGAATAAAATGTATTTAAATAGGCTAAATGTATTTAAAGTGGCAAAGTCTGACTTACATCACATTGTGCTAAAAACAGTAGCCAGAACAATCTTTAGCTGTTAATGATTCATCGTAGTGGAGGATTGGTGAGATTCCAGGGCTCTGGGGCTGCCTAGCCACTGCCTGTAGGATTGAAGAGATAGGCAGATTATCTTCTGAAAGTGTCTGATGTGGGTTTGATCTTTAAATGCTGATAAAGTTAGTGCTTTTCTATCAATTTGAGTTGTGTTAAGTCTCGCTTTCTTCATTGCCAGAATAAGTGACCTGAGCAAAGAGAGGGAAGGTGTAGGATTGCATGCTCCTCTGTGTGGGACATCTAACATTCCTGCATGTTTATCTTACAAGCCAACTGGGACACGAGAGCTTAAGATTAGCTGTTTGAGGTCAAAGCAAAAGTCTGTGTAGCTTCGTATTCCACCTCTGCCAGGGCAAGAAACAGAGTCTGGAGGAAGAAGGACAGGAGGAAGTGTTTTGTTACACCTTCTCTCTTCACCTTATCCTCCAGCAGCCTGCGTTGTGAGCCCGGTGAGCACTTCTGGTCTCCTAAGGGATGTGGCAGAAAGGGGACTACAATGATCAGATGTATGAAATTGCTTCTGTGCAAGAAATCACTAAGTAAACCAGAAGTCCAGCCTGGAGAATGTGCGACAGGGAGAAATGAGTCTATAAAATTAGGAGTGCTGAGTAGAAGAACAGGGAATGATGGTTTCCTGTTGCAGTTCTTCATTGCTCCGTGGTTCTTTTATCAAGCGATAGGTTCAGAAAAAAACAAAAGGGGATACTTCTTCACATCCACTGTATGGTGGATGCCAGGAGCTTACAAGTGTTTAGTAGACAAGTGGGCAAGGGCTTGGGCGAGGGGTCTAACACTGCTTGGTAGAAAAGACCTGCCTTTAGCTGAGATAGCGTGTGAGCTGCAGACTGGGAGAGCGGTCTTTGGATGTGTGTCTGGACCTCATCCAGCCTGAAGCCAGCGCTCCTGCTTTGTGTCCTCTGCGGCCGCTTGAAGTGAGAGCTGAACTCAGTCATCTAAGTCCTAATTTTATTATTCCTTCCGGACCAAAAAAAAAAAAGTCCCTTTCACCCAGGTTAGATTTGCTGTCTGCGCACTTGTCTCATTTCCATCTTGGCTTCTGTTGCCGTGCTTCTGCTGTGACCTCGGGCTGTGCGGAAGCATGGTAGCACTCTAGACGTCAGACAGGATAGTCCCATCTCCTGTTGAAGCAGCAGGATGGGACTGGATTCACAGTTCACGCTCTTTGGGGGTTGTGTTAGACCATGAAAGCTTCTCAGGTCCTTTGTGTTGAATCCATCTCACTGTTACCTGTTTCTGTTAAGTCATACTGCTCTTCTAAGAGAGTAAGGTGCTTCCTCCAAAATTATATCCACTGTCTTACCAGCAAAGAATAGAGCCGTATGCGAATTTCATCAGCCTGGTCTTACTGTTGTAGCTTTGGACTGTGCTGAGGCCAGGATATAGTTATTTAAAACTTAAGTTCTCTCTTTCCTTTGCCTGCTCGGTTTCCGGGGGTAAAATTCTTCGCCTTCCCATGATTTCCTAAGGGCACTCTTCTACTTCACATCTGTTGTCATAGTAACAAATCCAAGTATTTTTTTCAGAGTTTCAGTAAAAGCTTTGGGGAATCCTACTGGAAATACAGCCTGCCTTAAATTATTGCAGACAGCTCAGGTAGTAATTCCTTGGCCTTCAGTACAACTGCCTTCCTGACAAAGAGCAGGTGATTACTTTGCATTCCTGAAATGATAAGTGCTGTCTGTGATACCGGTTTAAGGGGAGGGTAAACATTTCCTCTCTGAGCACCTAGTTAGTCACTTAAGTCTTCCTTAAAAAGAACCCCCCAATGGTCTCTCCCCACACCAAATTCCACTGGACAGTAACTGGAAAGTGGCCAGCAGCCCTGGGCAGAGTGTATGGAGTGGAGTCACTCAACTGGCCTGGAGCTGTTGAAGAGAAACCCACCCCCCACACATACCGTTTTTTAAAAAACAAGGCTTTGCTACCTCTATTTACAAACAAGTTTGAGTGTGCTGTGTGTGTCCTTCAAAGGAGGGCAAGGTGGGATGTGAACTGAGTTGTGGCTGGTCGTGTCAGCGTGGAGCATCTGCAGGAGGCACGTTGCAGCAAAAAAAAAAAAAAAAAAAGGTTTTGTTGGGAGTAGCTGCAACACTGTGGTCACAATTCAGCAGCTTTACGGTCCTAAAATGTCTGCGCAGATTTAAATACACAGCAGCAAGGTTTTCGATCACAAAAAAGGATTCTCCACGCCGTGTACGTGCTGGGAAGCTTGTTAATCCAAGGCAAGAGAAAAGCAAGCTGTTCTCTGTGCCCAGGAAGTTTGGGTGCATTTGTGCAGGCAGCTAGAATTACTTTCCAACAGAAGTTGAAATTGTGGATACTGGGACTCATCTGAAATGCAATGAACTACCCCGTGATGAGCGTATGGCGCTGATGGGCTGCAAATGGCTGGCTACTGCAAAGTATTTGGAGGAGCAGGGGCGTTAAAAGCCTTTCAACCTAAAGTGTGTTTTAGTGAATGTTTCCCAATAACTCTGTCTTCTAGGGGAGGTTCAGTGGAGACAGTCCAGTGACTTTGGAGCTAATTATACTGTGCTGACTCCCGTGTCAGTGATTCCAGATGTGGATAGTGACGGAGTTCAGGACCTGATACTCTTTATTGCTACAGGAGATAAGGTATGTCACTCTGAAGCTATGATAAACCCAGTGGCCAGACCACAGGGCATGGCAGGAATGTTACTTGTTTTGATCTTGTAGTCTTAAGAGGAAGTGTCCAGAGGCTTCTGATATCTGTGGGTTTGGGGTAGGTTCTCTCCCACCCTGCAGATGTACTCCCAAATCAATGCAAGTGTTTTATGGTTTAAAAAAGAAAAAAGCTGGCCAGGAATCCCTCCCCAGGAATCCGTACTCCTTTTCAGTCTGCGCTCCTCACTGTGTGTTCCTGGGCTGCGTGTGGGGTGAGCCTAGGTGAGATGAGCTTGCAGTTTTCTGGGACTCTGCTCAGAGAAGTGGAAGTGAACAAACCCTGACGGGTTTGGCTCTTAGATCAAAGCACAGCTGACAGCCAGAGCTTTTATACCACCACTGCCCTTTTCTGATACCTTTCCTCTCTCTGCCCGTGGTCTGTTTTGCTCGGCTCTCTTCCTAGTGTCACTGCGCTGGTTAATTCTGACTTGGGTTCATTTAGTGAAATAGCTGCCATTTCTTAGAGGGGGAAAGTCGTGGAGCTAAAAGTCTTTTTATACTAAAACATCTGCATCCATGATTGAGTGGTACGGCATCGTCTGCATGTGCGATCAGTCCTGTTTAAAGCATACAGAAGTTACGGTTCCCTGCAAATCTGAATGGAGGAGTGGGAGCTCCGTGTCCTCATCATACCATAACACTCCATAAGCAAATAGGGTTTTGCTGTCCGAGGCATTGTTGTTGCCAGAGTCATCAGAAATTCTATCCTCTGCGACTCCTACGTTTCTCTTCTGTTTTCTTTCCTCCCTGCTTTTGCTATCCCAGTTATCTCAAGACTTTTTTTTTTTTTTTTAATCTTAGGCGGCCAAGAAATGTTTGAATGTAGTCTCTGTTCTGCAAGACTGCCTTTTGATTTGTTTTCCATTTAACCTCTCTAGCTATCTTGGTATGAAATCCCTTCCTCCCTCCGGACTTGGCAAGCACTCTGTCAACTTAAGTAAAAGTATGTTCTTTTTTGAGAAATCACGCAAAATGTAGGGAGCTTGAGTGGAGCTCTGCAGCTTGGAAAAAGGCAGTCTTATCGGAAGGGAGACTCAGAACTTAAGTAAATTAGCTTTGTAGCTAACGGGCTGAAGTTGAACGTTATAATATGCCGCTCTTTCCTGAAATGGCCGAGCTTTGAGCCGTCTGTGGGGAAGGGTCTGTGTGCAGGGGATTTAGATGGCAGCTTTTTCTGAGAGTCTTATTGACCCCTACCTGCTGCAAACTTCAGCACAAATACATGCGGGAAAATACGACGTTTTTCAGGATACATCGCCTGTAGCAGTACATAGAGGTATTAAGCAATACGGTGAGTACGGTGGTGTGTATTGTCACTCGCTGTATGAATACCTTTGGCTGTTGCTGTCCCAGGGCAGATGCTGAACCCGGGCTTGTGGGTAAAGGTGAAGCTGATCTACAAGAGCTGGTATGTGTCTCCTCCCAGTGCAGGAGGCTGGGAACAGCTGATGGATACGTTGTTCTCCTTCTCCAGCTGTGTTCTTCATTCTCCCCGGTAAACTCTGTCCCTTATTCGCCTGCCAGACTCTTCAGATTCACTTCGAGAGCAGCAGATTTCCTTCTCTTTCCCAGTCTCCCCCTCTCAAGGAAGAGGGAAGGGTTCCTGCCTGACTCAGCATCTCTGATGAGTGTTGTTTATTTCAATCTGTTGTTTCTCTTTTCCCTGGTGTGCATTGCTCTCCCCAGACTATGACTGTTGCCCAGACATTTGAATCTAATCCTGATTTTAGCCTTCATTCTCCTGGGTGAAATGTTTTTAGTGGATTCTGTTACCCTGCACAAAGAATATAAGGAAACCTGTCAGCTCTTTCATCCCCTTGGACCCGTGTCAGCCTTAGGAGGAGTAGATTAGGGCACTTAAAATATTTAGCAGAGCTACCGTGCGAAGCCAAGTTTCCCCTGCGTCCATATGCTGCTTTGCTTCTGCCTTTAGGTCCTCTCCATCCTTGTCGCTGCTCAGTGGGCTTGAATCGATCGTTGCTGTCATTAGCAGAGCTGGGGCTTGCTGTTTGGCAGTCCCAGCCTGCAGGGCAGGTGGTTGGCAGAGGTATTAAAATCTCGGGGCAAGTGGCTGTGCTAGAAGTGGTTTTCAAACTTGCAAAAGTATTCACAGCAGAGGGATCATCTAACTCGTGCCCACACCTCCAGAACCAGGGAGAGACTTTTCATCCGAGCTATGCTGTTCCCATTCAGCTGCTGTTCAGTACCAACTGCTCAGAAGCTTTGGAAAACAGTCGAGTTGGAGCAGTAACAGTGTGATGCAGCTTTAACCTTTTTTTTTTTTTTTTAATCCCTTGCCTGCATAGATTAAGACCTTCATCCATTCAGGAAAAAATGGCAAACAGATTGGCTCGGCTGGAAGCCTGAACATGGATGGGAAAGCTCGTTATATCAGGCTGAACCTGGACTCCTCCTCCTACTTCCTTTTCTATACAGGTACAGTTCTGTTTGTGAATTCGATCTGAAAGAGTGATTATAACTGTGAAATCAGGATCACTAACCAGTTGTCTGTTTTGCATTCTTAAAAGCTGTGTCATGCTTTCACCTAGCAAAAGAGCTATTCAAGGCTAAGAGAAGGGGGGGATTCTGCTTATACTAAGGTTTGTTATGTACTATAGTAATTTTACTTGAAAAATGTTGGGAATGTAAGGTTTAAGTAGTCATTTATAGCAAATGATTACTGTGAAGCACTTGGATTATGGACAGATAATATGTTAAAAGCATTCAAAAGCGGGCTTGAGTCTCAAAATACCACTACAGCTCTATGATGCAAGCCCTAAAAATATAGTTGATCTGCCAGATCTGGAAAACCGTAGAGTTCAGAGCAAGGGCAGGATAACTTATCTCCCTCATTCTTCCTTTTTTTGCACAGAAAACTCTCTCTATGCATATTCCCTGAAAGATCTCTACAGTGCAGCAACTGGGATGGAAATTAAGCTTCCCAGCCTTGAGCAAGACCCTCAGTGGGAGAAGAACATTGACCGCACCACACACCGCTTATCCCTTCTCAGGTGTGAGACTATGTCTTGGTTGACGTGTATTAGGAGGGTACCGGTGTTCCTGACAGGATGGCCCGTTGTGGCTTTGTTCTTTCCTGGCTACTTGACTTTTGGACTAGGAGCGCATCCAAAGCTTGGGGAGAGGGCTGGTGTTGATGGCCATGGTCAGGGTCAGGGTCAGGAAAGGAGGGAAAGCAGGCTGGGGGTTCCTATTTGCATTTATTGTGCAGGGAAAAAAACCCAAAACCTCACAATAACCTCACCGCCCACAGTCTAGAAAGTGTAATCATTTCTGTGTCCTTGTTCAGCTCTGGAGACATTCGTTACCTGGCAAAAATTCCTGGGCAGTCTCGGGAGAACATCTTGGTTGTAAAGTCAGAGATGGCTACGCTGATCAATGCACAAAATCTTCAGACTTTGTGGACCCTCAATGTGTCCCGTGTTGTGAGGTAATGTTACTCATGGGGGTTGGATGAGGCATTTCCAGGCTCCCAGCGGGAGGACAGAGGCTGCTCTGAAAGAACAAGGTATGCCTGAGCCTTCAGGGTGTGTTATGATCTGTCCGTTCTCTTTCTCGCCCTTAGTGAGCCGCTGCTTGGTTACTACAAACCTGATGTTCTTGGCATTGTCCTTGAGAGTGAAATTGGACCCAACAGAAAGAAGGTTTGGACACATTTCCTTTTAACTTGCCTCTTCTCTGCGTGTCTTGGCTCAAGCACGCATTTGAGTCAAGGGCAGCTGGTGGGATGTGTTCCCTCTGGCTGATTTTAGGAAGCTCTAGGCTGGGAAAGGAGCTCTTTCAACAGGTTATTGAAGCCAGCTCAGGCACTTTAATTCTCTTCTCAGCAAGAGGCTTCAGTGACAGAGCTTTGAACCCCTTGAAATAGCTGCAAAATGTGTGACTTTAATGTGGTCCGCCCGAGGTCTCACAGCTCTGTGATGCTCAGCTTCACGTATTTCCACATCTTCCCATGTGTCAGATACTTGTTCCTATAGACAGTGTGGGGTAGAGATGGCTGACTTGACTTTTCTCTCATGGCTTGTTAGCGTTCTTTGGTATGAGTTCCTTTGCTTTCTTCCCTGCTAGGTTATGATTGTTGAGAGTGGATCTGGAGCAGTCCAGTGGGACCTGAAACTGAACTCAAGAGCGGAGAGCCCTGGGCCAGCCACGCTTTCTACTGCTGATCACCGGTCCACCTTCCTCATCTGGGGTGAATACCAGGTGGCAGGAAACGAAACGGTGAGTAGTGCTGCTGAATGGTTGCTATTCTCCAGACTTTGGGCCAGAACTGGGTGGAGCTACGTCTTTTTTTCCAGTGTTCACATTCACATCTCTCTGTGCCACTAATGCTGCAGCCTCCTGCACTGAGTGTGGGGTGGCTCACCCGTCTGGGCTGCTACAAGCAAGCAGACCTTTGCCTGTGATCTGTGTCCTCGCGATGTCCATAGCAGTGTCCCTGCTAGCAGCTTGTGGTGGCACCAGCAGCTTTTGTCATCTTCAGGCTGGCTATATAGAGAAAAGGGACTTTGTGGCTCTATGAGCAAAGTCACTGGATTGCCCAGAGCCCTGCCTCAGTGTGGTACTGTAGGTGAGGCGAGAGGCTGCTGGCTTGCTGCTGCTGAAGTTGCTGCTGTTTGGCCTGGAGCCTCCTGCGCGCAGTGATCTCCCATGGCCATGTGAATGTCTTCTCTCTGTGCCGAGGCGGTCTCCGACAGCCTCGAGGCACAGCTCAGCTGCTCAGCAGAGCCCTCTGGGGCAGTGGCTGGCAGCATTAGTGACAGGTCATGTCTTGGAGGATGCCTGAGCACCAGCTGAGCTTCCTCTGCTTTCCTCGCGTAACTCGACCAGCCCTCAGGCAAAAATCTGTCTCCTGCCTGGAGCAGACAGGCCTCCTGTTTGCAGGAAGCTTGGGGTGGGGAGGAGAGCACCAAGCGGTAAGCAAAATCCCGACACTTAGTTCTAGTGGCATCAGACAGGATGAGTTGGGCAGACATGGACAAGTATCTGACTGGATGTATTCTGTCGAGCATGAGTAATAGCTGAGCCTGGTGCTGGTGTTGTCTCTGGGATAATGTGTGGGTCCGTGTCCTGATTGTGTGCTGTTGGTTGCAGAGCTCCAGAGCTCCTCTCCAGAAGCTGTATCTTTTCCATCCTTCCTACACTAATGTCCTGTTGGAGCTCCGCAATAGCACAGACCAAATAATTGCATTCAATGGTAAGTCCTCTCCTTCCAGCCCTCCAGCGAGGAGGTGCAGGAGGACACTGGCCTTCTGGTGCCTCCTGGACTCTGCGGGTGCGTGGTGTTGGCTCTGGTGGCCACAGAGACCTTAGGCTGGACTTTTCCCTCTGCTCTGCATTACAGCCATGCTGTTCGAGCGGAGCCGTCATGCCTGCTACGTGCTGTTGAGGGGCCCTCAAGCCAGCGAGGAGCCAGGGTCGGTGTCTCTGATGAAGCGTAAGCTGAAGGAGGATGTCTCGGAGAGCAGGGTGATCTGGCTGAGCCAGGTGGCTGTGGACAGCGAGCAGTACATCCGGGACCGCCTCTACAGGATGCGATTCCACAGCCGAGTGTGAGCTTGCCGAGAGAGGGGGAGAAGCTGCCCTGGCCACCTCCAAGCTGCCTCTCCTCCACAGCCGTGCTCTTAGCAAACCATCATGAATTCAAATGGGAAGCTGCCTTTCTCGATCTGCAAACCAAAGCGTGGCTGGCAGGGAAGCACCCCCAGTGTCTGGGGACGCCCGGGCTGTGGGGGCAGCTGCCAGTGTATCTGTCCTCAGAGCTGATGGGACTTCAGTGCCTGGCCGCCACTGAAGTGTCGTCAGCTCGGGGAAGAGGGCTTTCCCCTCCATCCTTTTGCACCTGCAGAACTGTGCTGACTCAGCCTGTGTCTGGAGGAAAACACATGCTTGCTGGGGATGCCGGAGATGATTATTTCTTGGGTGCTTGCGTGAGAAGTGGAGCTTCGATGTGTGGTGTTAGATTTCCTTTCTGAGTCAGCTCTCCTGGCTGTGGCTGTGCTTGGCTGCAAGTTGAGTTGTAATTGCACTCTCCTGGATTTGGGCCACTGCTTTGGTAGTTGTGGGGTGTGTGTAGTGATAGACCCCAGCTGCGGCTGATGATGTGGCTAGGTGTCACCCCAGCCAGCAGACCGCAGGTTAAAGTGTCATTCTGCTTAGAAAATGGCCTTTTCTCCATGTGCCCCACTCTGCAGTCACAAGGCTATTCCTGTGTCTGTCTCCTCTGCCGCTTCCTCTCCAGCCAGGCTGTGCGGTGCTGGTGACACAGAAGGGAGCTGGTCTCCCCCCTGATTTATGCATCAACGTTCCTGCCTGTCCCCGATCTGATTATAGGTGAGAGGAAAACCGCCCTGAGTCCACGCTGGCTGGTCCCTGCTGGTACAGACACCAGTTCTACTGTTTTTGAGGTGCCGGGGGATCTAGGACATTTTTTTGAGTAGAATTGCACTTTAACCTTTTCTGGAAGCTGGGCTGGCTGCTTTGGGGAGCCCTGTGCGTGTCTGGCAATATCACCTCTCCTGCAAATGCTCTTTCAGTCTTGCAGCTGCTGAGGAGCCTTCTCCAAGCACTGTCCCCTCTGCCAGGAGGTGGGCAGGCTGTAGGACGGGCATGAGCCACTCGGGGAAAATGACACAAGCTGTCTCTGCCGCGCAGCTCCAGAGAGGGCTCTGCGCTCCCTCCCTGCCCTCAGAATCAAAGTGATGCTGGGTGAGGATCTTCGGGTGCTCTTCTGCCTGTCCAGCCTGGTAGTCCGAGGGAATGGGACTGATTGCTGTGTGAGGATGATGTCTCCCCTGGAGACTTCTGTAGCGTGGGGTGTGTGCTCTGTCTTGTTCCTTGGTGGGTGCCAGTGTGGACTGTAGAAACGAGGTGCAAAGCCTGGAAAATGGTTTGAATCGGCTGCTCAGTCTGTCCTGAAAGCCGCAGCCCCCCCCCCAGCCACACTGGGACACAAGCCCTGTCCACATGCTGCTGGGTGTCTGTCTGACTGCTGAGAGGAGGGTGGACAGAAAACACACACCCTAAAAATAACCTCTCTCACATTTTGCGGTGCCGGAGGGCGTTTGGCCATCCCTTGCGTAGTCTCAGATTGGGGTGTGTGTGGAAATACTGTAGGGTGAGAAAACTTATGCCGGGTTGTGTAGGGTTGAGCATCGGTTCTTCTCTTGTGGCAAGCGCTGAGCTTTGACCTGCCGCAGGGCAGCTCCTGGCCCCGGCAGCTGCTGTCACCCAGGCTCGTGCCCACAGCTTCGGCTCTCCCAGTCTGGCAGCAAAATGAGCTTGCAGCATCGGAGGTCTGCCTGGACGCTCACCTCCTGCTTCCAGCTGGCCCGGTGGTTGCCTAAAAGGTGCCCTGGCTCCCTCTGCCCTGTGACCCGTGGCTTGAGCAGTCAAGGGAGCCGTGTAGGATGGGTGCTGCTGACCTCTGCAGAGCTGCGCTGCTGGTGGAGCCCAGTCCTGAGGCCTCCGGGCTGTGCAGGAAGCCGGGGATGCTCCCGGGAGAGCAGTCCTCAACCCCCAAGGCACCCTGAACTCAAAACGGTGGGTTTCCCCCTCTGCTCCTCTCTTTCCGAGCACTTCTCTGAGTCTGAGGTGCGGGGAGACTCCCCTGCCATGTCCCCTAGCTTAAGCTCAGCGTCATAAAGACCTGAAGCCCGGCAGCCCGCGCCAGCGTTGCAGGGATCACGGGCTGCGCCAGCGCCGCAGAGCCCGGGTGGTGAGGGCCGGATTCAGCCTGCCTTTCCACCGGCTGGAGCAGAGCTGGGAGCGTGGCTGTGGGAGCCGGGCAGCGGGAGCCCCAGGCTCGTGTGCTACTCCCATCTGTGTGTTGGATGCGGATTGTATCCCACTGAAATTCCCGGGTAGGGAGCGAGGTGCCCTGGCCGTATTCTCACCGCGATTGCAGCGTCTCGGTGCTCTCACTCCTCCGATCCCTACCCAGACCTGACCTTTCCTGTGGGCACACTGAATGTTCCTTCAGGGGAGCTGGATTTTTGGCTCTGCAGGGGGCTTTGTCCATTAATGTTTCCAGATACTTTGGAAACGCAGATTTCCCTCTGGCAGCTCAATTAAACGCATCAGTGCCAAACCAGCACCTTCTTAACAAAACAAGTCATTTTCCCAGCTTATTTCCCTGTGTAATTGGTTTTTTTTGCAGTATTTAATGAATGACTTTGTGCCTTGATTCAATAACTCAGATGGGTGATGATGGCATATATCACTGTGTTATGTATTAGTGTGTTTTTTAACACTAAGACCGTTTGGTTTGGTTCTTTAACTTATTGCAAATTGTGCCCTGTAGGACTTGGTCTAACCGGAATGGTTTCAATAAATCCTCTTTTGCATTGTTTGTAAATGGTGCCCGGCTTTTGTTGTCGCAGCTGAGGTTACGCAAGACTCCCAGGGATTTTTTTTGGCAGCCCTTTGTGTGCGACTTCCCGAAGGCAGAAAGCCCAATTTTGGGGAGGGATCCAGGTGTCCTGGTGATGCTTTGATGGTTGAGCTGGCCCCGAGGCGCTGCCGGCCGCCCTGTCCTGCTGCAGGCAGGTGATGGACCAGGAGAAGGGAGCTTGGGAGGGAGGCTGGAGTTAGATAACCAAGCTGGGCCAACCCGGCTCTGCTCCCCCCGCCGGGGGCTCCGTGACCTGGTTTTACACC